AACCAACCAGGTCACCAGGATTAAGGAAAGTATTTTCGGTGGTTTTTGAGACGTAGAAATAATGAATGAGAAAAAAGAGTTTATGTTTTTCTTTTACAGAACAGGACTGACAAACGAGCACACAGTTCACCTGGTGGTAAGTGAATCTGTGGCCTATAGACATCCACTCTTGAGGAATAAGATGAAATGACTCGCTTCCAACAAAAGGGTCTCCAGATCTCTACATTCACCACACGAAACATAGCAGCATTATGCTTCTATTTTTACGCAGGGGGATAAGTCGCTCGCGTCCGTAGGCTTTGACCACCTGTTCCTAGGCCCACCCTACACGTGTCCCCCGGGTGGTGCTAAATGAGCGACAAGCCACTACCACAGACTTGGCTCCACGCCGTGGTAGCGGCGTTAAATATACCACCCCATTTCGCACCATGAGGAATCGAATTAAAGAAATGGCCCCGAATTCCCGCCGCCCCTTTAATGGGGCAGGGGTGCGAAGAATCTCCGGGAGGAAAACCGGCGACGAGGTTCGCCACCCGTCACGTTCTGTCTCCCGGAGAGGCGAAAAGTGGATTGCAGAGGCCCGTCTGGCTACGTTGAATGTATGTGGGGCAATGAATGATAAAATGGATGAAGTATGCGATATGATGTATGATAGAGGATTAGATGTGTTATGCGTAAATGAGACTAAAAGGAAGGGGAAGGATCTCATTACATATGGCATGTATACCGCATACTGATCTGGTGTAGACGAGATCGAGCGGGCATGCCAGGGAGTAGGTATCATCCGTTCAGAAAGAATGGGCCAATGTGTGAAAGAGTATGAATGTGTAACCCCAAGACTGCTATGGATACGAATGAAAGTGGGCTTAAAGAAGTTGTTTGTGTAAGGGGTCTACGCCCCAGACATGCCTAAGCCCACTTATGTCCGAGAGCAGTTTTGGGAAATGGTAAGGATGGTGTTAATGAAGTGTAAGGGAAATGAAAATATTATTATGCTAGGAGATTTTAATGGAAGGATTGGGGTCAGGAGGCTTGGTTATGAATGGATATTGGGAACGTTTGGTGATAAAAGTATAATTGAGAATGGCGAAAGTCTCCTCACCGTATGTATGGAAAAGAATTTTTTTGTGACGAACACTTGCTTTCGCCACAAGAGGATTCACATGTATACTTGGGAAAGAGGTGACGATAGAAGCACGATAGATTTCATAATTGTGGATGAAAGATTGAGAAGCGCAGTGGTAGATACGAGAGTTTACCGGGGTTCTAACGTAGGAACGGATCATTATTTAGTTTTACGCCGAATTAATGATCTATTCATGCGTTGGCGCCATCGATCGTCCTTGTCTACCACTGGGTTACAGCGTATTAGAACAGAAAGGTTACAAGATGAAAGTGATAAAAACAAGTTCAAATGTAGACTGAAAGAAAATATAAGTGGTTTGGATTATAATTCATCCATGAAGGAGTATGAAGGAGCTAGACTTGAAGAATATATGGCAAAATGTAAAGAAAGGTTTAGTGGATGCAGCTACCGAAGTATATGGTGTTAGTAAGAGAAAGAATGAAAGGAAAAATAATACGTTATGGTGGGATGATGAGGTACGTATGGAAGTTGAAGCAAAGAAGAGAGCATGGCTAGATTTACTAGCAACAAAGGCTGCTAATTCTAGTGGTACGAATGGTGATATTGAAAGAAAAAAGGCAGTCTTTAGACATCTTAATAAGAGAGTAAAAGAAGTAGTTGAAAGAAAAAAGCAAGAAAGAACGGATAAGAATGATAGAAGAATATCAGATAACTTCCAGGCAAATATTAAAATGTTCTGGAAACTTGTAAGAACTGCCAGGGGACATTCAAAACAGCCTATGATGAATGCTATAAGAGACGAGAATGGCTATATTCTGAATGATGAAATTTTGAGTTTAAAGAGATGGAAGGAATATTTTGAAAGCGTGTTTATGAGTGAGGAGACAACGTGTGTACTAAGTGAAGTAGAAACTCTGAAAGAAGAGGAAAGAGGTAACGAGATAAGTACAGATGAAATAATGAAAGCAATGAAAAGCATGAAAGCAGGTAGAGCATGATAGAGTTTCACTCGAAATGCTAAGGGCTGGAGAGGAAGTGGTGGCAGGCCTGCTGCACACCTTGTTTAATTTATGCTGGGAACTGAAGCGGGTACCGGTAGACTGGTGCAAAGCTGTGATATTCCCAGTATATAAAAGAAGAGTGTCGCAGCAGGACTGTAAAAACTACCGTGGCATCAGCCTTCTTAGCATTGTGGGAAAACTGTATGCTAAGGTACTGTTTGAAAGGGTCATGAAAGAAACTGATGGAAAAATTTGGGATGTGCAAGCGGGATTTAGAAAGGGAATGGGATGTACAGATCAAGTCTTTTCCATGCGCATGATCGCGGAGAAGTTTCTGGCCAAAAACCAAAAGGTTTTTTGTGCGTTCATGGACTTAGAAAAGGCCTATGACAGAGTGGATAGGGATTTGCTATGGCAAACACTGAACTCATTTGGGTTGAGCGCTGGCTTGATACAGGCATTGGAGTCTCTTTATAGGGATTCTAGTGCTTGTGTTAGGATCAACGGGGTCTACTCGGACTGGTGTGACATCCATAAAGGTGTCCGACAAGGCTGTGTGGCTTCCCCGTGGCTGTTCAACCTATTTATGGACAGTTGTTTGCAAAATTTCAAAATTGAAGAATGCGGATTAAGAATGGGTGAGTTAACCGTCAAATGCCTTTTGTACGCCGATGATCAAGTTATTCTTGCGTCGTCGGCGAGCGAGTTGCAAATGATGGTTACATTAACGGACGGATCATTAAAAAAAAGGTGTATGAAAGTGAACGCAAGTAAGACGAAGGTTATGGTTTTTGAAAGAGAAGAAAGTAAAACGATTTGTGAAATAAGAATAGAAGGGGAGTTGATCGAGCCAGTAGACGAGTTTGTATATTTGGGCTGCGTATTTAGCAGGGATGGGAGATATGATAAGGATATAGAACGACGAGTGAATGTGGGAAATAGAGTAAATGGGGCCTTGCACTCTATTGTGAAGAGTCAAAATGTGTCGAAAAAGGCACGTATGGCAATTCACAATGCTGTGTTGATCCCTACTTTAACGTATGGTAGTGAAAGTTGGGTGTGGCGGAAGAAGCAAGAGAGTAGAATAAACGCAGTAGAAATGCGGTCGTTAAGGAGTATGTTAGGGCTGAATCTGAATGACAGGGTAAGAAATTGCGTAAAATTGCGTGAAGAAGAGAAGAGTGTGGTTTGCAAGATGATGTTGTGACCAGGATTAAGAAAGGAATGCTTCAGTGGTTTGGTCATGTGGAAAAATGAATGAGGAAAGAGTGAAAAAGAAAATTTATGGTGCATAAGTGAATGGCAGAGTCGGAAAGGGACGTCCTAGGCGAAAATTTATCGACCAAATTGGCGATTTATTGAAAACGTGCCAAATTAGGAGTACCCTTAACCGACGAGCATGTATGCATAGGTGTATGGATGTGAAGGAGGCAAGAGAGGTGTGTCAGGATCATGCCAAATGGAAGTCTGTAGTCTCTGCCTACCCCTCTGGGTGACAGGCGTGAGTGTTTATGTTATGTTATGTTTACGCTGGTGTTCTGTGAAAGCGTGGTCCTAACCCGGTCGAGCTGACCTATTCGAAATTACAGCCACAATATTATAGTATCATTATTATAGTATGTATCATGGCTCTATCATAAATAAAATTCTGCAGAAGTGTGTGGTGAAATTGGCAAGAGACGCCCTAGATGAAAATTTATAAACTTAGATATTCATCATCATCATCATCATTACAGCCCTTCACAAGGCCACTGCTGAACATACGCCTCCTCTAAAGTATGCCACAAAGCACGGTCCTGAGCCACCTGTATCCATCGACTTCCTGCATGTCCTACCAGATCGTCACTCCATCTAGTGGAGGGTTGCCCTACATTTTACCGACCGGTAGGAGACTGCCACTCGAGAACCTTTCTTCCCCATCGGTTATCGGTTCTTCGAGCTATATGGCCGGCCCATTGCCACTTCAGCTTACAAATCCACTGGGCTTTGTCGATCACTCTGGTTCTACTGCGGATATCCTCATTTCTAAGTTTATCATCGGGTGACAAACAAGCACATAGTCCACCTGATGGTAAGTGGTTGCTGTGGCCCATGGACATCTACATCTATCCTCGATTATAAATCAAAATGCAGATGCGTTGTCATCCGTTAGGACTAAGATGGAATGCCTCGTTTCCAGTAAAAAGGGTCTCCGGTTTCCTACACTCACAATACGAAACACATCAGCATTAAGCTAATATTTTACGCTGGTATTCTGTGAGAGCGTGGTCCTTCCTCGGTTGAACCGTACCATTCGTGCTACAACTATACTACCAATATAACTGCAGCATGGCTTTATCACGTATTAACACTTTCCGGGACAGACCGCCTCTCGACTTTATCTCGGTATATTGCTACGCGACAGTACGGCCAACGGCGGTGAACTTAACATAACATTCCTAGGAAGCACATGGCCTAGTGCCACATCACGCGACTTCATTCGTTCGTAGGCGTCACGGTTAACACTTTTCGAATAATTTTTCAACACACACATACACAGTGCTCATAGACTAAAACAACACAGTCACACCGTCGACAGACGTAGACTGAGTCATACAAGTACAATGATGTTGATATTTAGTGTCACGGCGTATGCGCCGCCAGCGTGTCGTCGCATAGCTGCGGGTGGTTTTTGATTTTCATCAGCGAAAGCAAGGTAAATAAAGCTTATTTATATCTATAATCTAATTTAGTTTGAGTTATATATTTGTTGTGTTATACAGTATTGCTGTTTTTTTACTTGTAGGGATAAAACATGAAGTAAAAGTAAGAAATTAATAAACATAAACGTATTGTTCAAATGCTATTTACCCACTATTTCAGCTTCTTACTAACTGTTTTTGTTGTAAGTATTTACCTATATTGTTTCGCAGATGGCGTCAAAACGGAAGAAACTGACATCAAGTATCTGTCCAAGTCGGTTTTCTGCTGAAGACAATGCGGATGAAAGCTACCACGACCCATACAGTGACGCAGATGCTGAGTTCGGTTCTGATACAAATTATGACCCAGATGGTGCTCAAGAAGGCGAAACTAGTGGATCAGATTATGAGATTTTCAGTACGAGAAACGTTAAGCTTATGCGTTCCAGTAGGATTAGTGAAAGTCCAGTTTGGTCCAGCGATTCGAGATCAAGTATGTACGATTCTATATTGAACCAGAAAGTCGATGAAAGGTCTTGCAATGACCCGTCTGTCTTAGAAAACTGCGTAGAAGATGGAGTAGTGGGCTCTCCGAAACCTCACTTATCTTGTAATTACCATCAAACTGAACAAATAGATCCAAATCCCACCGATATATTATCAAATCAAACACTAGAGACTGTCAATGAGCATTTACCAACTACCTCAGCCCCGGATGACGCAGGATGGGTAGATACTGTTGCCGATATTCTTGATTTTACCTTCGATCAAACATTACCCGGCCCACGCTTGCACATAAATGAAGCCGCAACTGAAAAAGATGTTTTCGATATACTGTTAACGCCAGACCTTGTTGAGTATTTAGTGAATTGCACGAATGCATATGGTAACTCACTAGTAAACCAAAACCGACCGCACACTAGACATTCAAGACACATAGTTTTTCATGAGACAAATGTAGAGGAGAAGTATAAATTTCTTGGTCTTTCTCTGCTTTCCGGACAAATTCGTGTGCCTGAAAATCGTAAGCTATTTACTCACGCTGACACATTATATTACCATCCTATTTTCAATTTACGTGATGTCGGGTCGAAGGTACGAGCAAATCTTACGATGTCTATGCGCATCTGAATTCAACGCGAAAGGGCCAGATAAAATAAATGGATTTATAGATATACTGACTCGCAATTTCCGTCAAGTCTATTATCCTGATAAGGAGCTATCGCTTGATGAATCTATAATGCTTTTTGGAGGTCGGTTAATTTTTCGCACATATATGCGGAACAAGAATACCAAGTCTGGAATTAAGTTTTATGTATTAACTTCTCATGATGGATATGTTTTGAACCAAAAAATGTATTCTGGTAAAACAGACGTTGATGAATCCAATACGGGTGGAAAAACCATTGAAAAGCTTGTCTTATGTTTAATGAGTTCTTATCTGCTTAAAGGCCATGAATTATACATGGATAATTTTTATAACTCCGTGACGCTTTCTGAGAAACTTCTTGACCTGAAAATACATACGTGTGGGACCTTGAGAAGTAATCGAAAGGGTAACCCAATACTTCTAGCAAAAAAAAACTGAAAACAGGTGAATATTTTTGGCTACGAAAAGGCAAGGGTTACGTGATTCATTGGAAAGATAAACCGCAAGTTTTGATGTTGACAACTTTGGATCAACCTGAGATAATTGAAGTTACCAACAGATGTAGTCAAAAGCGCAAAAAACCTAAATATATAGGTCGGTACAACAGCTTCATGACAGGTATTGATCGTGCTGTTCAAATGATCAGTACTATTCTTGTCCTCGGAAGACGATAAGGTGGTACAAAAAAGTTATTTTTCACATGTTGGATGTCGCTGCCTGGAACGCATTCTTCTTGTTCAAAAAGTATGTTATAAAGAATAATGTCAAGAAATACGGATATGTTGAATACAGAGATAAGTTGATAAGAAGTTTTACGAAACTTGGTGATGTGGTTGGGAAAGACCTCTCAGTTGACGCATGGAAGAGATATCCACCAAAAGCTCCTGAACCAAGCACCTCAACGCCAGGAATAGGCGTTGGTCATTGGCCAATTCGCATTGCAGCGCATGAAAATTTGAAAAAGAAGTATTCTTTTCTAAACTGTAGAGTTTGCCGAAGTCAGGAGCCAAAAAGACGTAGGGAGACAAGTTACCGATGCAGCGGCTGTCTCAAATCTCCTCCACTATGTCCAGAATGCTTTGAAACCTGGCACAGTATTTCTAATACTCACGTACACCAATAATTGGATTATTTATTTCCTTTTGATAAATTACTTTAGATAAGAAGAAGTTACCTTTGTTACTTTAATATTATCAAAAGGATGTCAATTAAAGGAATACTAAGATAAGACTAGATACTACTAAGATAGAATAATAGGACTGATTACTGTCAAAGACAATTAAAGTACAAGTTTGATTTATGTAGTGTGTCGTAAAGCGACAATTTAAAACAAAAGAACCTAACCTAACAACAACGAAACAACTAAAAACGAATAATTTATTTATAATTTTTAAAAGATATTTATAGTTTTTTATATAAAAAAATATGAAGATGATGATGGGTGACGTGAATTACAATTATTTAAAAAAAAATAACAAAGATAAATGAGTACTGAAACGGACCCCGAAGACCAAGGTTGGCAGTGGTGCTCACCGCTCACGGAGTATGCACAGGCTATGCCTGTGGTAGGTGCGCAGCGCCTGATCTAGGCACACGCAGCGTCTGGAGTAGGCACATGCAGCGCTTGAAGTAGGCACACACAGCGCCCGGACTAGGCACACACAGCGCCCGGAGTAGGCACACGCAGCGTCTGGAGTAGGTACACGCAGCGTCTGGAGCAGGTACACGCAGCGCTTGAAGTAGGCAAACACAGCGCCCGGAGTAGGCACACACAGCGCCCGGAGTAGGCACATGCAGCGACCGGAGTAGGCACACGCAGTGCTTGAAGCAAGCACGCACAGCGGCTAAAGATAGCACGGGCACTAGTAGGTGGAGGCGTAGGCGTGGATAGACGACGACTTCAGATGAAGGCAGAGACTTGCAGGATCCCGGGGCAGTGCGGCCCCAGAATAAGGCCTTTAACTGGATATTTTGCATCACCTTTATTTCCATAGGATCCTGTAACGTTTTTAAACCATAAGAATACAATAACAAATCATTTTCACTTCGTATTTTTACGCTATCAGCACTTTTTAAATCGGTGTCAATGGAGTCTACATTTTTCGATCTTTTATTTAGTTCTCCGTAACTCTGCAATTTCGGGCTTCGTGCGCGCTGTTGCGCTACCATTTTTCCTATATCAATAATATCTCATTTTTCACTTAAATCTTGCCGTTTCTCTATTACGAGCCTGAAACCAAAATTTGACATGTTTTGAGATCGTTGTTTATCTGGTTGTCATGGCAATTTTTATTCAAATTCGTTACCGGTCTGATTTTTTTTACTTCAAAACTTCCACGAAAATACTCTTTTCTTCTTGGCCATTTACAAAAATTTTCTTTTAATTTAAATAATTTCCCGTTCTTTTCACAAATCCGCCCCTCTCTAAAAAAGTATAAAAGCCGAACAATCGGCCAATAAAGGGAGTCTCGTTTCAGCTTTCATACTAGAAGCATCTCCTAAGTTTTGAGGTGAATGCAGAAAATCAAAAACAGAATGGGAAAAATAAATTTAAAATAGTGTAAAATGATATGTAAGTAGCATAACACTACAAGTGTTGATTATTTTCTTACCTGTTTAGTGTAGATGACATTATAAAAGAACCTAAGTTGTTCGAAAGGCAATAACGTCAAGGGCCGTTACTGTCATATAACAATTTTAGAAATAACAATTTTATGACAGACCTCCTCTAGGCGGTACGCCTATTTCAGTATTGTCAATAAGCTTATCAACCCGTCTACATGGAATGACAAAACGTTAAAGGCGGTCCCGCCCAACGCCGATGTTGCCTTATAATACATTAAAGATAAACCTATTATGACAGGCCGCCCTTAGGCGTTAGCGCCTTAGGGCGTTCCGTAAAAATAAACTTTTTCAAATGTATGTAATATGGCAGACCGCCTATAGACGGTACCGTCTGTAGCCGCACTGTCTAATTACATTACTCATGGTTAGTCATGGTACGACGTTCCGCCCATAGGTGTCAACGTCTGTGGCTGTATTTGTCGTATCAAAAAATTAAAAATATATGTAATATGATAGCACGGCTGTAGACGATACGATAAAATGTATGGGATTTTGAAGTGTCATGACATTTGCAAAAAGTCAAGTGTCGTGACGTGACGTCGGAACGTGTTAATATTAAAATAAAAGTTTAAATATTTTTAATGATAACTGGACATGAACAATATAAAATATTAATTAATATTGCACTTTCTACCTATCCCAGTTAATATTTGTCCCAGGTAAACATACTCATCAACAACTTTGAGCTTAGTGCTCCCATCAACTACCGGCATCGGTGTGACATGGACATTAAACATGATCTTTGTTTTGTCCATGTTCATCTTAAGTACCTATCCGTTGGGAGGCACTATTGAGGTCATTGAGCATAGCGCTTAGGTCCTTCAGCGATTCTGCCATAAGGACTATATCGTCGGCAAATCGAAGGTGAATGATGTACTTGCCATTGATATTAATACCGTATCCTTTCCAGTCCAGTAGCTTGAAAACGTCTTCCAATGCAGCGGTGAAGAGTTTCTAGGATATAACGTCACCCTGTCTTACACCTCTCTGCAGTTGGATAGGTTTCGTACTCTGGTTTTGTACTCGGATAGCCATCGTAGCCCTTACTGTACAAATACTTCAGAACTTCGATATACCGACAGTTCACTTGGCACCGCTGAAGAGACTGTAGCACCGTTCAAATTTCGACGGAATCAAAGTCTTTCACATAGTCCACATACGCCAGGCAAAGTGGCAGATTGTACTCTTTGGACTTCTTTACAATTTGCCGAGGGGTATGTATTTGATCTATGGTGCTAAAGCTTTTTCGGAAACTGGTTTGTGCGGGAGGCTGGAAGTCGTCGAGTCTGCGTGCGATACGATTCGTAATAACTCTCGAAAACAGCACCTAGACGCGGCTCAGAAGGGATATCTACTGTCTGTGGTTTGTCTTGTAGTTTCTTTCGTTTCTTCAAGGGAGCGTTGTCACCTCTCTTGAAGAACAAGACCACCGCACGTCTGCTCCACGCCTCGGTAGTAGTGCCACCATGGAGGATGGAATAAAGAAAATAATGAGCTTCTGAAGGACATAAACTACCGGTTTTCAGAAGCTTCATTGTAATTCCACCCTCGCCCGGGTACTTCTATTCCATTCTAATCTAGCTCAGACTGACGTCTGGGATATCACCGAAACGGGTAAGACTGCTATTGGGTCGTTACTCACACTTGCGTGTAGCTCAAACGATGATGTGTGCAGCTTCCTGTAGAACCTCTCAATCTCACTCAAAATCTCAGGTGTCCTAGAAACGATGCCACCATACTCAGTCTTCAGCTTTGACAGTTGGCTCTTTCTGGCAGACTGATCTCTGGCAAAGAGTTTGGAGCCCTGGTTCCGCTTGATCACTATACGAGCTGTATTAAAGTTGCGTAAGTCCTGCTGCATGCATTTGGAGATCTGTCTATTCAGTTACCTGTATAAATTAGATATTCAAGATGGGTGAAATCAAGGGTACACTTAGTTGACGACCATTCGTAGATAATGTGAAAGAAGTGAGAGACGTATATCGGGCTTGTGCCTAATAGAAGTCACCTCTGAACGCTAATACGAAGTAAGTCACAGTCAACTTCCTTAGAATAAAGCATGGCAGTGCATGCCTTGCTTTTTGGCAGCAGTAAATAGGTAAGATTTTGATAAATACCCGGATAGACTCCTTTGCAAAAAAAGAGTTGAAATTGTTAGAAATTAATTTGCTTACTTTCTCGTAATGAAACAAAATAATGCGTCCTGCCCGGTTTGAAGAGCACCGCCCACCCTCCTTAAATTGCGTGCGCTATCCCCGGCACTACCGATTTCAGCATCACCACTCCTAGCACCACCACTACCAAAACCATCACACTAGGATCGACATACCAACCTCGATAATACGACACGTGTTTC